CTCCTTACAAAGCCAAAAACTGACAGCAACCCAAAAACTAATTAACAGGTAACTAAATAAGCTATTTAATAGAATAGTAAAAGTTTCAAGCTACTAATATACACGACAATCTGGATAAACAATACTTTCTATTAATTAAATGAAGTAATGCCCAAAGTGTCTGTTTTATTGTTGATTCTATTTATATAGAACTTAGATTGAGCTTAATTCAAATATGTATAGCAGCACAGAGAAGTAACATCTTAAATATATTAGTTCTTCCAATCCATGAAAATAACAACTCCCTCTGATTGTCTAGATTTTAAAAATTTCTCTCAATAATTACTGGGATTTTTAGAGTACAATTATCATGTCTCCTTAGTTAGATTTACTTCCAGATTATTTCATGCTTTGGCATAATATTAAATACCAATGTTTTCAAATTTGATTCTCTGGTTTCTTACTACTAATCACTTTATTTTTCTGTCTTTATCAATCAACCATTAAAGTTCACATATGCTTGCTTTAACATTATTTTACAGTATCTGGCTATCTCATCATATGCATTACATGTTTATTAAGATTGTATAATCAAGAAAGCGACAAATTTTATTAAATATTTTAAACATATACTTGGACTTTTTGTCTAAGAATGCTACATCTACAAAAATTCTCAATAAGATACTGGCAAAGAAAGTGCAACAAATTATCCAAAAGATGGTACATCACAATCAAGTAAAGTTTATCATAGAAATGCAAAGATGACTCAATATATTAAAATTATTATTATTTGTAGGTGGCTAGATCTTCTATATAGAAGTCCCCAAAAAGTTTCACCAAAAACTCTTAGAATTAATAATAACTAAATCTGTGAATGTAGCAAGATACAAAGCCACACAAAAAAATAAAAAATGTTACTGTACGCCAATAACGAACTCAGTGAGAAAGGAAATAATAAAACAACACCCCTCACAATAACATTGATAGAAGTTAGAAATGTAAGAATTCACCTAATCAAGGAAATGATAGGTCTGTACAACAAAACCAATAGTATTCAAGAAAAAGATATTGAAAAGAGTATCAGAAAATGAAATTATTTCCCCTGTTCCTGAATAGGTAGAATCATATAATCAAAATGGCCATCCTTCTAAAACTGATATTCATATTTAAGGCAATCTCAATCAAAATACTAACAGCTTTCCACACACAACTTGACAAAAAAAATCCTAAAATTTATACGGAACCAGAAGAGACCTGGAGTAGCAGAAGACCAAAGTAGTAGGCATCACAATCTCAGATTTGAAGTTATATTACAAAGCTACACTGATTAAAACCAGTGTGGTGCTGGCATAAGAACAGATACAGAATCAATGGTATAGAATAGAGGATGTAAAAACAACTCCCTAGCCACATTTGGCTATTTGATCTTTGACAAAATGTCAACAGCATATACTGGAGGAAACATAGACTCTTTAATAAATGGTGCTGGGAAAACTGGCTATCTTCATACCAAAGTTCAACTCTAGACCATTTCTCTAACCATATACTAAACTAAAATCAAAATGGATCAAAGATCCAAAGGTTAAAATAGAAACCCTGGTGACAGACAAAATAGACAAAACCTTGAAAGACATAGACATAGGCAAAGACTTTCTGAACAGAATTTCAGAAGCCTGGGAAATAGTACTGAGGATCAACAAATGGAATATCAAATCAAAATGCTCCTGCACACCAAAAGAAGCAACCAACAGAGTAAAGAGACAACCTACAGAATGGAAAAAAAAGTTTGCCTGCTATTTCTTAGACAGAATATGCAGAATACACAAAGAACTCAGAAATAGAGCCCTCAAAAAATAACACACCCAAACAAAAAGCAAGCAACTAAATTGAATATTCTACTCAGAAGAAGTAAGAATGACCAATAAATACGTGAAAAAACATTCAACATCTCTGACTATTAGACAGCTGCAAATTAAAACATGTTACCCCAACAATGGCTATTGTCAAGGAAGTAAATAGTAGCAAAATTTGGAGAGGTTGCAATGAAAAACCCTTAAACTTTGGGAATGTAAACTTGTACAACCACTATGGAAATCAATGTGGCGATTCATCAAAATGCTAGAAACTAGCAATTCTATCTGACCCAGCCATTCCTTTTTAGGTAATTTCTCCGAATTGTTAAAAAAATCCTATTACAAGTGATATACGCATGCTTATGTTTATAGCAGCACAATTTATGATAGCTAGATCTTAAAAGTGGCCTACATGTTCATCCAGAGATGAATGGATGAAGAAAAGAAAGTATTTAAATACAGTGGGGTACTCCTTTACCATACATAAGCAAAAATTTGAGTCATTTGTGGAAAAATGGATCATGAGACCATAATATTAAGTGAACTAAATCAGACACAGAAGAAAATATCACATAGTTTCTCTTATATGAAAAATCTGAAATGTAAGTAAACAGAAAATAAAAGATAGGTAATAAGAGGCAGAGTGATAGATCTTTGTCCAGTGGGAAGACCATCAAGAGATGGAGGAGAAAAGGGGAAAGAAAGAAGATAAAAGAAAGGATTGCAATGTGTTAAGTACATGTACCAACTCCCCAGATGGAATGTAACCCTATGTGAGATAAACATGGATTAATACCAAATAAAAACCAAAAAAAGATTTGTTCATCTAAAGAAAAGTCCAATTTTTTTTCCAATAGCATTTTAATTTATGGTACGAGAACTGCCCTATCTGCATAAACTAAGTTGGGAGTGGTCTCTTCTGTGCTTTTATTTTCTCTGGAAAAGCATGCATACTGCTTATTACTAAAATGTCACAGAGTCAATTTTATTAATAGATATAGGATTATTTACATTTTATTATTGTTTCAGAGGTGATACACTGGGTTTTCTAGCAATTTATCTAGTTTATAGAAAGTGCAGTTTTTGACATGAGGTTTCTATAGTACTATGTTTTAAACACCTGAAGGATCTTTGATGATGTTCCCTTTTTTATTGCTGCTATCAAAAATTAGTTTCCCCTCTGTCATGCTTTCTTAACCTTCTCAGTTAATCTTCCTATGGGCCTGTGAATTTCAATTCATTTCAGAAAGTCAGGTTTTCACTACTAATACTTTATTTCATTTACTCCTGCTATTATATATACTTTTCCCTTCTATTTTTATTGAGGTTGATTTACTGCCCTTTTTCTAATGTCTTGAAATAGCAAGTTAGGTTATTGACATACGGGTTTTTAAATTTTCTCATGAAGAAAGTATGGCTGTAAATTTTCTTTTTTGCTTAACTCTAGTACCATCCCACACATTGGCTATGTCTTATTTTCATTATCACACAGCCAGAAGTATTTTTCTTTTGATGCCTTATTTGAGCAATGAATGATTTAGAAGTAGGTCATCTCATTTACAAAAATGTTGAGTTTTTACGACCATTTTGCTATTGATTTCTATTTCACAGTCTTATCCCCTCAAATCGACATCAGTTATTTTTCTTTTCCCACAAAATTGCCAAAATCTTCCTTATTCTTCTCTCATCGCTAGAGCTCTCTGTCCAAGATTTTAGGTCCAGTTTTGTTTGTTTGTTTGTTTTCTTTTGTGTATCATAGCAGCTAATATTGTGTTGTTCTACTTAGATTTTTCATTCCTGTGCAATTTCATTTTCTCAAAGATTTATTTTTCTTCCATAGGTTCTGGTTGGCACAATAACTTGCTTGTACTTTTAAACGTTTTTTTGTTTGTTTGTTTGTTTGTTTGTTTTCTTTTTAGAACATTTCTTGACTTCTCAGTTCGTTGCCAATGAGAGCTCAGGTCTGGCTGAAATCACAGCCTGAAACACAAGGCTTCATATTTAATTTGATATCCATAACTTGGTGCTCTTCTTTGGAAAGATCATTCTCAAGACTGTGTTTTGCCCCTTCGAAACATACAGCTTCCTGTGTTTTAATTACTCCTGTGGTTTTAACAGAGGTCGACTTCACATTATTATCCAACTAGACTAAAAACGGTGGAAGGCAAGCACCAGTATCTAATTACACTTGACCACAGTGTACATTTGACATAATTGGAGAGGAAATTTTAAAAGCGGAAAGAAAGTCTGGGAAAATGATTGAATAAAATAAACTCAGATGAAATTAGAAAAACATGACCTTCTTGTAATTTTTTTCTGGAGGAAAACAATAAAATTTCATCCCTAATCATTACAATCTTTGAAATTTCATCCCATGTCACTGTACGCATCATGACATTTTGTCTGACCAATGAAAAGGAGTCGAGACCCCTCTATTTTTTCTCCGAATTTTATTTAACATTTCTTTCTTTCATCAGTATGTGTCACTGAAAAATAGCTTCATCATATATCTTTCCCAAAACATGGTTTGACTGAAATATTCTCATCGGGAACCTCTCATCGTGATATATTTTTATCAGAGCTTCTGAGCCATGGAGAGCGATGCTATGCAAGACATGGTGCATGCTGGGTAACGCAGACTTCAAGTATTCACACTCTATTAATTAATTCATCACCTAAAAGCTAAGCATTGATTTTTTAATGGTCTTACAAATCTGTTTAAGCTTCTGTGATGTGATTAAGAGGATGTGTGTTTACTGTAAATTATCTAACAAGTACAATGGCATCACTCTCAGAAATAGCAAACAATTTAGCTTTTGAGAGAAGAGAGGGAAATACTTCGTTAAAATTTTTTTTCCTAATATTGTTTTATTTAATAACTGTGCTATTAAAATATGGCTTTAAAAACTCTTATTTCTGCCTATGAATGTTATGTTTCTTCATCTGTGATAAAAATGAAATCATCCATCAGTGATTATTTTTTCCAAATCCTACTACAAATCATCACAGGTAATTATTCTTTAACTGCTCAAAGTGGCCAGAAAAATGTTATTTAAGTTCTTATTGTGGAAGACATAGAAGTATTTTGACTGATTTCATTTCCAGTTCTGAAGAGAGAGAGAGAGAGAGAGAGAGAGAGAGAGAGAGAGAGAGAGAGAGAGAAAGAAAGAAAGAAAGAAAGAAAGAAAGAAAGAAAGAAAGAAAGAAAGAAAGAAAAGAAAAGAAGAAAAGAAAAGAAAAGGAGGAAAAAAGAAAGGGAGGGAGGAAGGAAGATTCATAAGACCCTTAGCAATATTATCATAAATATTTATAGTATTTATGTTTATCTCTTATAGTATTGGAAATAAAATAAGGCAATCCATTCCTAATTCATCAAACAACAAAATTTACCTCATACATTTACTAAAACTAGAAATTATATAATTTATAGTACATATTGATTTTCAATAGCAAGTTAGAAAAATAAAATATTCTGATGTTAATTGCATTCAGAAGATATGGTTATGTAAGTACACATGGAAAAATAAGACTCATTCATGTTTCTGTGCAAAGTTAAGTCCTTTGATGATAGCACAAGATGTCACATAGTGTACAACAATGACACGCATACTAGGGCTTATCCTTTCAAACAAGTTTCGCTGCAAAAACAAAAGATCTCTTGTTGGTCTCTCGTTTTTCTTCTTACAGTTCCTTTTCAAGTTTTCTCGTAAAACTATTGTAAGTCTGAATTTGAGATTTAGAAGACAGGAAGGATAGCACACTGAAGAACAACCTGGCATCAATTCCTCTCCAATCATTTCAATAATTCATAGCTGAAGAGTGCAGAGGACTTTTTCTGAAAAAAACAAGTGGAAATATTATTTGTGATTGTGTTTTTATAAACAAATACAAGCAATTCTTTCTGTGAAAGACTTTTGGATAAAGATTTTTTTTTTTTTTTTTTTTGCTGTCAAAGCAAGAAAGTAATCTTTCCTAACTAATCTTGACATTGCAACTATTTTTGAAAAATAAAAATCCTGATCATTAGATAATTTTATGGTTGCTTGTCTTCTTTTAGTTCATACTCTGGAGGCAGAGCCCGCAGGACTATTTATGGAAGCAGTTGCTGTAGATACTAGGTTTTTAGATGACATCCAACTGGCAGTGGGAGCCCAGGCTATTTGAAGCTACTCATCATGCAGAGATAAAAAGAAAGCAGGCTAATCCTGCTAGTCTTTTGATAGCATTAATTACCAACAGAGATAACACTGGTGTTTCTTCAGTCAAAGTTAGTTTTGTTTTTTTCATTTTATTTTTTCAATAAAAGAGAAAAACATAACATCAGAAAATTTTATATTTTATTGGTAAGAAAAAAGCAATCTTTTTGGTCATTGAAACTAAATAGGTATATGTGCAGTTAGTGTTGACTTCTTTTATCAAGCTTTGGTTCTGTTTTGGCTTCCTTTAAATAATCATTGGTTGGCACTTCCTAAAAAGTGTGCATAATTAGAATTTTAAAAGGTTTTGTAGAATATAAAGAGATTAATTTGTGGTTAACTTCAAAGAAGCTTTTGGCCCCTTAAAATGAAATTAAACGTTTCCTATTTACATATTTCTGCGCACAGCCTGTCCTTTCTGCATTTGTGCACGACACATGAATGCAAACCCACAATTCCGGTTAACTATGCCACCCACAGAGAACATTCACTACCTAGGACTAGAAAAAGGATATCAAGGACAGATAAAGGATATGAGATAGACAAAGGTCCACTCATACAGTACACCTGTCTCAAGGGTAAATGTATCAATTAGTAGCTATTTAGGTCACAACTAGAGCAAGAAATACCAGAAAACAGAGAGCTTGTTGAAAAGCAAGTAGTAAAACATGAATTCCAGGGGCTGGGGATTTAGCTCAGTGACATAAGCGCCTGCCCTGCAAGCAGGCAGTCGTGAGTTTGATCCCTGGTACCGATGAAAAGGAAAAAGACCAAAACAAACCCATGAATTCCAATATGGTAACGCGAAAAAAAGATCAATTAACAGTAATTTCTTTTATATTTTCAGTATTGTTCATTAAATTGATTCAATAGGACATGAGGCTACTGACAATTGAATATATGTACAAGGAAAAAAATCATTAATTTTTCCAGGGTTTAAACAGTCAGAGAATTGGGCTTCTTATACACAGTGAAACCTAAGTAGGATAAATTGATATTTATTCATTTAGCAAATATTGATCAATTACTACATGTTAGGGGCCATTGTAAACACTGGAGAAATACCTCTGCCTTCATGGAGGTTGTAATCTAGGAAAAAGAAAATGGTTACATAGTAAAAGTGGGATAGGAATATTGGTAGAAGGGTCAAAAAAAGGCAATGTATTTACAATTATGGCATATAGTTTATAATTAAGGAGTTGGGAAGAATATAAAAATTATATTGAACACATGAATAAGCATAGCTTTGCTGAAGAAAAAGCCTCTTTTATAAGGTGGGATAATTCCATTATTCACTTGGGGCATATAAGAGCTGATAAGGGTGGACCTTCCAACATCCTGTCATCATTGACCCTCAGATTCATATAGGGGAAATTAACACCAAATCCTAGAATGGCTATTTACAAATTCTTAAGTTCTTTACAAAAGTTATGGTATTGGATTAATTATAGAAGTTGTCTGATAGCTAATTGTCTTATCTTTACTATACAATAGGTAATACCTACTTTTGGAGAATCAGGAGTACTTATTTTGAGAACTCAATAGGTACTAAATATATAGCACTGACAGATCTTCAAAATTTTTTACAATGTACAAAAATAAAATGTTATCTTGATTATACATAAAAAGAGAATTACCTTCTAATTGATAAGCACAAGTCCCAGCCTCCAAATCAATAACTTTTAATTGTTCCTCTTCAAACTCAATGTTGCAAATGAACAATTTACTTAAAAACAAATGTTTTCCACCTCTTTCCATTATGGATCTAAATAGAAATAGAGTCCTATGTTATTAATGGAATTCCAGCCTGGTGCCAAGTTATGTGTAAGATACTCGAGAGAACAATGTAGCCAGGCAGAAGGAGCCATCCAAGCAAGAAGAAACACAGTGCCTTTCACAGACAAGTCAGGAATCTAAAAATGGAAAATATCCAGGTATCAAACATGAGTAAAGCAGCTCAAATACAAAATTTCCTTCATTGGTTGTTCTGGGAACTGTGCCACATTGGTGCCATTTCTTTTTTCCATTTCTGCATCCTGGAAACCAGTCAACATTCAGGTAGTATGCCCTCTGTCAACTGGGATTGACCAAGTGAACCAAATTACCAAGAGTCTCAAGCACAGGAGAGGATAAGTAAGAGTGTTCAGTGTTCACATTCTTCTTGTGTTTTCATAATGCTCAAGCAGTAACTGCATTTCACCTAGCCCTGAAAACCCAGTTTCTGCTGCTTCATGTATAATGATGTCATTATTGCTAGTCCAACAATGGAACTTCATGAAACTCTCACCAATCCTAAGTGGTTTTTCCAGTAAATTTATTTTCAGAGAAATAATTTTCAGAATGCTGTTTTGTTCCTGCTCTGAGCCCCAACTTATTTATCCACTTTGTGTAGAATTGTACCAAATGAGAACCAGTACATATGTGATCACTGGAATACCTTTGTGTTTTCATGAAAATATACAGTATTATCTGTCACCAAAACCTGTGTTTTATGGTCAAAAGACTCTGAATCAAATTAGAAGAGATATTATAAGATATTAATGTTATTATAAGACATATTATTGATTTCCAACAATATTTTATAATTAATAAGGTAAGTAAATTGTCATTTTTGTTCAAACTCTTTTGTTCACCTGATAGTGTTTTCCCTTGTTGGTCAGATAGCCTATTATAGATCAGTTATGAACTATTGTAGTCAAAGTTTAGAAAGGAAAAGATTTAATACAGGATGCATACTTTAAATGCTATTTTATAATATTCACCAAAAGAGTCAAATCCAAAAGAGTGTCTGAGATCTGTCTACACACCTGAGACCCAAAGAATACAGCTGAGGGCCTGGATCCCACAGCACTGTTCTACAAGAGTCCAGATGAAGACCTAGAGCCCATGACAATGTCTTATGCAAGTCTGTATCAAGGATTTGCATTAGGAAGACCCAAAGGTCAGTGGTGGAAGCTAGAAAGTCCATGCCCATGGGATGAAGGATTTGTGCTGGGAGGCTAAGGAATCTCCACTGGAGACAATGAACAAGGTGAAGATCAGAGATCCGCTAGAGAACCACAGCCATTCTCAGTGACAGCGGGATCTTGGGCTTCTCCAACAAGAGAACAGCTAAGATCATATCAGCAAACCCAGCATGACAGGCTTCTCTGAGAGAATCAAGAACACACCATCTCCCTCTCCAGTTATCTTTATGTTGTTGGCAACAATCCTCAGGTGGGTCATCTAAATTCAGCACCATGCTGATTCAGTTTGATTTGGTGTTGTAAACTGACCGTTAGTTAATCTACCACATGATCCAAATGCTATTTCCAGTTTATACTGTGCTTCTTGAAGTATTTATTATTTTAATGAAGAGGAAGTATTATTAAATATCAGTGTAAAATATCCATTAGACACAGATAATAATTAAACCTTCATAAAATATGCCACTGATACACTACCCACATGTGTCTTTGGATTAGACAATATTGCCAACTAGTCACTCTACTCTGTATTTTGAAATGTAGTTTCCTTGAAGTGTGCAAGTTTTACCACTTTTTAGTAATACTGAGACATTTATCTGATCCTATAACTTTGAAAGATGTTTTGGTTTTACACCAAAAGAGATAATTTTACCCTGCTCTGTAAACATTATTTAAAATGTTTGAAAAATTAATTATTATGTGAACAATTTATACTGCTTGTTGATAAAATTTCATAATAAACAATACTCTGAGAAGTTATGGAAAATGGACTGAGTCACCAATGGAAACTTATTTTTAACTGTTGTAGATTCCTCCTTAATGGATAGATTTTGAATTACTGGTTTACTTTTATGACACTGTGATATTAGTCTACATAACAGTAAAAACAATAACAATTTAGAAAATGTGAAAAATAGCACTGGAAACATTTTAAATTGCTTGAGATTCATTCTACCCTAACAGTGTATTGGTGAAGATAAACTCTACAGGTCAGTTTTCTAGCTTATGCCAAACCTATAAAAATATATCACGTTTAACTATAAGATTATGGTTTTCTTACATTTGATATTTGTTAAAGGTATGCAAAATATTCCACTGTGTTTTTCAGTAAAGTAATCAATCTGCCAACAGACTTCCTGCAGAAGTGAGACTAGAAGTGAGTTTCCAACATTTGGAAAGATTTCTGGAAAGATTTCTAGAAAGAATGGCAATTATTGTATTTGTTATGTGTCCTTAGCACTTAGAACACACACCTGACATAGAGTACATAATTAAAAATATTAAATAATTGATAAATAAGTAGGTAAGTGTGAAATTGTACAACACCAAGAGCACAATGGTATGGAGACCATAATGAGAGCCTCCAAACATTCAACTCTTATGTAAGAAGTTGGTCTAGACTGAGTGAACTTGACAGGTTCTACAGGACTGTCACAGGGTTGTTGACCTGGGAAGTCATTTCTGGTATACTATGATATCGATTATCCCAATGAGTAGATAAATTTGAGCACCTGCTGATTTTGAAAGACTTGTTGGAGGATACCTCATAGAGAAATTTTTTATTACTTGTAACTATTAAGGCAATTAAATTAATATTACTGGATATTAATAAATCATATTATGGTCATGAAGTATAGAAACATGTTTGAGTGGGATACAAAAATAGCCGATATGTACTATAATTAAAACTCTACCAAAACATATGTTTATATGTCAACTATAATAACAAAAACAATTCATATCACATATTTTGTCTTTCATTAGCGAGCATGTCTTTCATTTCTAATCTTCCTGAAGAACAAGATGTTAGACTATATTAACTGCAACCACAAACACCTCTTACTCTGTGGCTTACCATAATCAAAATTAGGGCTACCTTCTCTCACAGTCCATACTGGACATGGAGGAGACATGTGGTCAGATCAAAAGTCTAAGCTCTGAATAGTCACTTAGGAAGTCAGATTCCTCCATCCTTGACTGCCAAAACTTTTCCAGGTGATCTCCAAAGGTAAGAGGAGTGTGGAGAGTCAAGATGGGCCACCAAGTCATGTGACCCAATCTATTTACTACAAAGACTGAAAAATCCCTTCTGTGCCTCAAGTGCAAAGTGAAATAGAATGATGGATGTATACCATTGCTTCTGTCACCCGTCTCTCCCATCAACAAATACATATTTCAGTTTTTCTCCTTTATGTAAGTCCTACTAACACCCTCAGTCTCTAAAACACAACTCAGAGTTTCATCCAGTTATTGCATTCAGCCCAGAGTTTGTATACTGTGAAGTTATGACCAGCATGTGTGGCATTTTTTGGTATAGATACATAGGAACCTAAGAGAGAAGTTACTTGCCACTCCTTCCTACATGCATACCCAGTACTCCATGGTGAATGAGGGACAGAAGCCACAATAAAATTCCTATCTCATGAGGAAAAATTAAACAGAAGACACTGAATAGTTGCTGGGCTGTAGTATTCTATAGTGCATCCATGACAAGATTGAGAAGTAGCAGGGAAAATTTTACGAACTAGATTGCATTTTTCATGTGACTTTACATCTTCTAGTTCTGACTTCAGTAGAAAAGGGAGCTGAGCTCATGATCCTGAAGTGGGCATTAGTAAACATGCCCCTTGATGGTACAATAGGTTTTCAACATATTTCTGATTATGGAAGCACAAGAGAATCCAACTCTATTTTAACTTTGAACAAAGAACATTTTAATTCCAGGTTTCTGGGGGCAACATACTTCTCACAAAATTAAATAGAGTTTTGTGCTTTACTTCTAGTTAGTTGCAAGTACACATATTTACATATGAAGCATTTTTCTATTGCATTCTTCAGCCATACCACCTTAACTCCAAATCAATAGACTTGTAAGAAGACCTTTGCCATTTGCCAAAAGAGTGGTTTCACCATGTTGTCTTTCAAAGATACATTGTACTATCTTCTTTTCCATCTATAGAAATACTTAGATTCTCTAATTTATCAATACATCTGATTTTTAGGCTTTCTTAACTCTTTTCCAGATCTCTTTATACAATGATTATTTCTCTGGTGTTTTTTTTCTTCTTCCCGTAATATATTGACAAAGGCACTGACTAGCCACCAACAATCACCAGAAGTTTGAATCTTTCCAAATGCTTTTACTAAATGGCTACAAAGGAATGCACACATTGGTATCAATGAGCTTATAATAGATTTAGAAACAAGGTATATAAAAAACAATTAAAACAGAAAACACCAATTTCAATATGTGCTAAATGGCTAGAAATTTAGCCTTATTCCAGTTCAAAGAGAGAAAAGTTTTCCATCTTAATTCAAACAGTGGGAACCATGTCAGAGTTTTATATGAAGAAGCAGCATAAGTAGAATGAAGTTTTAGAAAATGTTTATGTAACCTATGTATCGATGAGAGATATAACAATATGATATGGACAGTTAATAAAATTAATCTGGTTCCCTCCTGTAGCTATTCCATTGTTTTAGAATGTGCTAAAATTAAGAATATCAACAATACTGTAGAGGAACAGATGATCCATGAAGTGTTCAATTCTCATTTAATTTCTCATTAGCTAAGAAATTTCAAAGAGTCTGCTGAGGAAAAATATGATATTTCTATATCCTCTGTGTGTTTATAAATATCTACTGATACTTTAAGTTGAGCCTTGAAAATAATTCACTAAATGATAGCAGTAATGAAGTGTGAAATAAATTATTGCTTTTGTTGGTGATAAAGATTATTCTGCTGGGCAAAGCATATTTGTTTTATCCACTTGGCAGCACAACAGACCTACTATAACAG